CCTGGCGTGCCAGCGTGTCAGTTTCCCCCAAATAAAGGCTGTAGTTATCGCCTGTACTGACTTATTTTACAGGCAGGTACGGCAGAAGGTTCCTCATAAGAGAACATTCTTGTATTTGGAGCAACTTATCCTCCGGCATCGCGCGCATCAGGACACAGTCAACATCAAGGAGGCAAAGGATGGCTTGGACTTCTACTATGGTCAAAGAAGTCATGCAGAGAAGATGGTTGAGTTCCTGTCTTCAGTTGCTCCTTGCAAAGTGAAGAAGGCATCAGAGCTTATTTCTATGGATATCCATACATCCACGAAGTCTTATAAATTCACATACTCTGTTGAATTGGTCCCCATCTGCAAGGATGATCTCGTCGCTCTCCCTATCAAGCTGGCTCGGTCTATTGGCAATATCTCACCACTAACACTATGCCACCGAGTTGGAACTGCAATCAATCTTCTTGATCCCAACACACTCCAAACATCTGAGGTTCCTACAGGGACATACTGGAGGTCTCCGTTCAGAAATCTTGCCGATGTGACGGAGTTGGTTGAGTTCATTGTCATGGATATTGAGCCATTAGGCCGGTCGAATGGGCGATTCCACCTTGCCGAGGCCACTGTTGCTCGAGCATCGGATCTAGGCTCAAATGATCAAACCTACTTCACCAGGACCCATCTAGGTGGAATTCTCCATGTTGGAGACTCTGTACTAGGCTATCATCTGACCGGCGCAAATTACAATGACCCTAACTTCGAGGCCCTTGAGGCTAGCAACCAGTACAGTTCTACAATTCCTGATGTTGTACTGGTTAAGAAGCACTATACCCGCAAGAAGAACAACAAGAATCGCAACTGGCGACTCAAGCGTATGGCTCGTGAGCACGAGGAGGAAGCGCTCAATGGTACAGGCGCCGTCGGCGGAAACCGGAAGCAGGAGCAGGAACGGGAGCGCCTCGAGGCCGATTTCGAAATGTTCCTCCGGGACGTCGAGGAGGACCAGGAGTTGCGTGGCACTATTGAGGTGTATAAGGCTCGTCAACAAGCAGCTGCTGGCGGTATGGAGGTAGATGAAGACAGCGAAGATGAAGGCGTGCCCAAAATCAACATGGACGAGTTGCTTGATGACTTTGATGAGCTGAACATGGCCGATGACGAATGAGCTTCCTATCGAACTATGATCATGATTCCACACAGGGTCCGGCGTTCATTGGAGACATTTTTTCAGAAGGTTTTACAAAACAAAAAGGTTCAAGTAAATAGCAAAAGCAGATTTGCGCGATATATCAAACAAAGTTTTGTTTCGCTAAAGTTTTGGGATATCTTCATAAAAGACAATTGTACATAAAATAGATTCCTCTAAAAAATCTTCCCCAATACTCTCTTCGTATCAGCCTCGAGAGACACTTGACCATCGTTAATCGTATCACGTCCCCTCTTGACCTCATTCTGCTTGAAGGTTCTCCTGATCTTGAGGTCACCCAAAGGCTTTCCTCCGGCATCACCAGTCTCCATCTGCCTCTTCCTCTTCTCCTCATTCTTCTTCTGCATCCCATCAAGGACCTTACCCGTCTCAACACCCTGAAGGAAAATCTTATCCTCCTTCCGCGCGCGAGTATCCTCGATGCGCTGCCTAGCCTCCCTCTCCGACCTCTCCCTCTGCACCTGCTCCATCAGATCCGCCCACTTAAACCCCTTCAGATATTTCATATTCCACACATCATCATGATACCACCCGCCCTTCCTACCACCAACAATCGACGCATTCAACGTCTCCGCACATAACTTCGCCGTCTTCTTCGACGCAAACTCGACCCATCCATCCGTATAAGTCTTCCGCTTATTCGACCGCCTCCGCGGCGCAGAAGCCGACCGAACAGACGGCGTCAAGAACACCTTCGTAATCGGGGAAAAGCCCCTCGTCTCAATGAGTGATTTCAGCGCAAATGGTTTAAGGTAAGGAGGTAAAGACGAGAGATAAACAACGCCGGTCTTGTTCTTCTTCGGAGGTTTACCCTTGTCCAATAACAGTTTCTGTTTGGTCTTCTTCGTTTCTTGGGCCGCTACGTCTAGGTATTGGTCGAGGTTGTCTGCGGATTCATCATCGTAATCTTCGTCATCGTCGTCTGTGGTACGCTTAGGCTTGCCCTTGGTCTTAGAAATCTTGCGATCTTCTTCGGAGTTGATGTCTGATTCGGCGCCGTTGTCACTTGCGCTTTGCTCTGACTCATTCTGGTGCGATTGTGTCCTTCTGCGCTTCATGAGTCGTCCTTTGCTTTCTTCTGCTGCTTCGGAGTCGTAGCCGCGGTCATTGTCTTCTTCGTCGTCGGAGACGACGTCTAGGAATTCGTTCCGCTTGCGGGTTGTCATTTTGTAGGTGTTTTTTTCCCTTTTTTCTCTTCGTCGCACGCAGGAAAGGGCTTGTGGAAAGTGTAAATGCTTGCGTTTTCTTCTTCTTCTTTTGACTTGAAAAGTGTATGTACTTTTTTTGGGCTTGGCTTGAGGTTACTAATTGTTCTGAAAAGGCCGACAACTTTTTGTTCCGGTGTTGGTCTGTGCTTCTGTGGGTGGCCAATCAGAGGGGGCATTGGGGTGTTCGGAGAACCCATACCGTCGATTAACACTGATTTTATGAGGGAAGGTTCTACTTTCTAGAAGCTTGATTACACATGCAGTAGTATATATTTCATCTACAGACGTGACTGCTCGTGCATAGAACTCAAATCATGTACCTTATGTACAGTACCACTACGGGCATTCCTTACCCTATCATGCAAATAATGGGTATGAACATGTCGACAACCAAAAGACGCCAATATCTCTGGATCTAGGTAAGATGAGAAACAGAAAGGATATAAGGAAGATAAAGTTAGGGGTCCAGAGAGCGAGGTAACCACCGTATCTTACTCAGCGGTAAAAGTGAAAGAGGGTGGGTGATAAGAGAGGTATGCAGTTGCCTCAGTTAGTTTATATGCCCAGAGACCACTTCATCCGTTCGTAGACAAAGAAGGCCGTGGCCGCCATGGGAATAACCTTAATGTATCCGATAGTCAGGCCAACCCAGAACCCGCGGAATCCTCTCTCCAGCCAGATCGTGCGGGCTGTCTCGGCTATTCCTAGTCGATGGCCATCTCCCACTACTCCTCCTACTTGCATACGCCGGCGGATCACTTCTAGCGGGTATGACGAAGTCTGAGATACGAGGCCGGCAAGGGCTCCGGAGAACAGTTCCGCCGCGGCGGTAAGTTGTGCGCGCCCAGATCCCTTCTTGGACTTCGATTCAGACCCTGGGATGGTTGTATATTGCGAAAGTTCCGGCGACCGAAGCAAGTCACCAACAGTGTCATGGGTAAGGAAGGACATTCCCGCATAGGGAAGCATGCCAAGGAGGGTGGGTGCAAATCCTCGGTAGAAGTTGGCCAGTCCAGAACTTGGGACGACCCTGTTCACGACGGAAGAAACTTCGGCCGTGGCAGTCGCTGTAGCTGAGGCTGAGGAATTTGGTACGGAAGGCGCCGAAACCCGTTCACGGTAGATCTGTCGGAATATGTCCGCGAAGGAGGAGCGCGAAGATCGCTTGGTCTCAAATGCTAATCGTACTCTAATTAACTCCAGGGGATATGTGAAAAAGACTGATGTGATCCCCGCCAAACTCCCAGAAATCAATCTGCGAAACGGTGTCTCCTTATCCCGTGACGGGATTACTGCCGCCCGGATCTGCTCATATGCGAGGAACTTGATGGCTGCATAAGGGAAAATGCGGAGAAGTGTCGCAGAATGACCTTTAAAGAGGCCCCTTGGCCCTTCATGGCGCTTTATATCCCGGATTGCGGATACCAGTCCAAACCAGCTGCCTGTATATTTCGCAAACTGGGGGTTCGATGCCTGGAAAAGGATCTTGACACGGTCAAGCGGTGCAACCACCGTTTTTGCCTACATAACTAAAGGTCAGTTTATTGCGATACTTTAGTTGACACGATGTGAGCTGGGCATCCAAAACTTACCGCACACCCCGCCAAACCCCCCGCAAGTCCACTCCTTAATACATAGTCCACGCTCCTCTTTTTCAGCTGTTCCGTACCTCCACGGCCATTTCGTTTATAGCCCGGTGATGAAGCATCATCTGCAACGGTCGCTTGTGTCGTAGCTACCGCTACGTTCTTGTTTACATCGCCGGCCGTTGGTGAACTTGTGTCTGCGAAATGTTCCATCTGAGGATGCGAGTGCGGGGCCACGTCTGTTATTACGCGATAAGGTTGAGGGCTTCTGCAGGAAGAGTCAAGCGCATGCTCCGGAGCGACAGCAGACAAAAGTAAAGTCTGGTCCAGGTAGGAGGTCCGGTTCGGTTGTGGTGAGGAGAATCGTCAAGTTCACAGGGTATCAGAAGTATTCGATGCCATAAGATATCTCACGAAAGGATTGGAACCAAAGATAAGATAAATCCCCTCCACTCAAAAAGCAACTAAGCCCCAGAGCGGTAATTAACAAGTGACAAGTAGCATGCGAGCACCCTCTATGAACGCATAGAGCAATTATCTGAATCTAAAAACCAACGATCGCATTCTTGCTCCGGCTAGAAAGCGGAAACCAACTCGGCGGAAGTGACGTTACGCGCCGCTGACGTGCCGATACCTTCCGCTTCCCACTGAACGACGGCCTGCATACGGTCTTAATACGCGATGGTAACCGAGTGGCGGATATCTATCACATGACCATCAGGTGGCCGGCTGCCGGAGCATTTATCACCCTGCCAAACAATCAAATTTGGTCAACTGTTGCGGCTTAAAGCTCATACACTACTGGGGTTACCTACGGTTACTCACGGTCTCACTAGTACATGTCGTCTAGAAAAAGCTGACCACCTTTTATTGGTCAAGAAAATATAGAGACCATCCATTCATAGGCAAAGTGGCATAGTGTGCAGCATTTGTAAAGTGTATACTAGATCTGGTCGTAATAGGATTGGCTCTTTTACTTATTTTAAATAAATTTTTTCTTTACAACAACCTGTCTGGGTGGCGCAATTGGTTAGCGCGTCTGACTGTTAATCAGGAGGTTGAGAGTTCGAGCCTCTCCCTGGACGTCTCTTTTTTGTTAGATTTTTATCAGCATCAGATAGATGTCCTAACTGTAAAGGATCTACTTGTCAGGGTAGACGGCCTGTCGATTAGGTAGGAAACACTAGGAATCTAAGAGAAGAAACTTATAACAAGAGGTTCATTCTAGTACAAGACTGAATCTTAAGAAATCAGAAGAATTCTATAGTAATTGGAGTATCTTGCTCTCTTATCCCCAGTGATTCTTCCGCATAGCTCCGGCGTTGACATTATGACTTGTTACAAACACTATGAAGTCTGTGTTGGTCCGGGGCGGTCCCACTTAGTAGGGCATTCCGTAGGTAATCCGTTACACTAACCATCCAACAAACAGCCTAGCCTGACACACTTCTTCCTCTTTCACTTTTTCATTAACTACAGGCCTTCAAAGTTGTCGGGAACTGGTCACCTAATGATTATAATGTGTATAGCTTACCTTACCTTACATCGTCCGTGGCTATGACAGCACATATATCTTGTGTTGGGACGGAGGGATCCTCCCCAGCATGGTTGGTATTCTTGATGCTGAGGACAGCATGAGAATCTTCCATAGAATCCCGTATTATTGACACAATCTACCTCTTTCTAGAACCTCTAAAATCTTTGCTGTAATGATTATTCTTGCAAAACTTGCCCTCTTCCTCAGTTCTGACTAGACGATGTCGAACAATTCGTCCCTTGCCGTACTATTACTACTGGCAACGAGGGCAACGGAAATCGTCATCTCTTTGATAGCTGCATTTCATTCTCATCTGTCTCAGGACTTCTTATTTGAAGCTGCATGTATCATCCGTTTCAAAACCTTTGACCATCGGCACGTCCATTTGCATATGCTACATACAGACCCTTGTGTAGGTCTAGCTCACTTATCAGAAGGCGGACACACGTGGCAGAATCCATACGGAGTAGTCCTCAAGGATTTGAGGACTGAGCAGCCCGCCCCACCGAACGCTAATACCGATATGGCAAACACGGGAGCCAATATGCAAATCACGTGACATGGTATACAGACGGGTATCCTCGTATACACTTGGGTATTTGGTATATGGTACATGGCGTATACCATGGTATACAGAATGGTATATAACCAAAGGATATATAAGGACACTTATTCATGTACTTAGTTTAGTTATTCGCGATCAATCTCATATTGTTACTTAGATATACTACATTTGGATATCTTACCGGCTTGACTTTTTCGTACTGTCTTAATTACTAAGTATACGTACTTGGTAGACCTGGCCCTTCAACCTTGAGTTACTTGTACTTCGTGACTTAGTACCTTCGTGGAACCCTTTCGGACATGTGTGGTCATCGCTTCGTGAATGCATCGTGTCGGACACCAGTGGACTCTGGTCTCTGGGTTTGTACTCGATCTACCCAAGACTAACTGATAAGCAGAACTCTTGGAAGAAGCTCCGGGTGTGACAGTACACTGAAACCTGGGGGGTATTCTTTTAGTTGTTAAAAATACAACACTGTTGTAAAGAATATCTACTGGGCAGGGTAGACCACCTGTCAACTAGGTAAGGATACGTAGGCAAAGAAGTATAGAAGTAGCTAGTATTAAAAACAGTAGAATCCTATGAACAGAGACTAATCCTTGTTCTTCCTATTTCAGAATTACCAGGTCTCTTATACCTAGAGATTCAGCTCTGGATGGTAGATATTCAATGAGTAAGATGGGGCCATATCATCAGGTGAAAATGTATCGGCAGCCCAGGCGTTCCCTGTACGAGATGTCAGGTATATCATGTACTTCCTAGACCGATTCTCTATCGGATCCGTAACAACTGTTCAAAAAATTGTTGAGGTTTGCTATTGATCACTATTGCAGGACTCACACATTTATGCTGCATTGTTAACCTATCATCCTGCCCAGTCCATCTCAGCTCTGTTGGCCCCAGGCCAGCTTTTAGTTCAACATCCGCTCCTACCAGTATGAGGGAGCACTGCAATGCTTGGCCATGATGTTAAGGAAGATTAATGTCTATTCAGGTCAAGCATCCCGCCGCCAGTAGGGCCTCTTGTAGGTCTAGCATTCAATAGGCAAGCCGTTCTCGGGGAGACATGAAATATGCTTTAGAGCTCTTTGAGAGTTCTAGCCTAGTTGGTGAGATCAATCCACTACCAGGTTCAGTTCTAAGCATTGTCAATCTCTTGACACATATAAAGATCATCATAAGTAGTTTTTGATTTTTTAAGGAAAAGCTTGGTTAGTCAGCATGGTGTACATCTGAACAATACCTAAGAAGTCATGAAGGGTATGGAAATTAGTATGGTGGAAAATTCTAGATTGATTGGTAGCGGTTACTTTCTTATATAACCTTTATCCAAGTTCTTTGCGTAACAGCTTGTCTGGGTGGCGCAATTGGTTAGCGCGTCTGACTGTTAATCAGGAGGTTGAGAGTTCGAGCCTCTCCCTGGACGCTTAATTTTTGCTTTTGTTTTCCCGTCATACTCTCGTTTGTACGTGCTTGGAGCGGTGGCTTCCAAAACCGGATTTTGCAACTTAGCAACACGTTGAGATACTCTGCGTTCATGGCCATATTTGTCTTAACTCTGGGCAATTTAAAGCCAGGACATGCGAAGATCACATTTAAGCCAGGAACTATGCATGAATGAATACACTAAGCAGCTATCTCCAATGGTGGTGGCAAGAGCTCTAACCTAAGTCAAAATGGAGGGTAAGAATTTCTATGATCTGTATGTACTAATGAGTGAACTCTACTGTCGCAGTGGTTCACACAGTTCTGCTTTCTAGTCACTCTATTTGTCTTCACTCTCTTTGTTTTGCAAGAAAGACAAAATATATAAAAACGAGAGAAAAATACAGTTGCCTTTTGTCAATAACAATAACTTTATCTCACTTTGCTGGTCTTCAAAAGTCTTTTTTAATTTCCACTAGCCCCTGAACATATTTCTTCATCATAACTTTACATTGTGTGCTTAACCAACTAAGTTGCATTCCCTCTCCCTCCTCATTGCCTCTTCTCATGCTTCCACGTCAAAGCTTTATTAGACAACGGAGTCAACACTCTTGCATAAAGATTTATAAGAGGTACTTAGGTTGACCGTATACTTCCAGGTCTGTGTCTTTTATAGGGTGGAAGGAGATAAAACAGGGGCCACTGCAACAGACAATCTCTCGGGCCATTATATTGCCTCGCGTTTCGCTCGAGAGGCAACAAATAACTTCACCTATGACGAGCTTATCCAGCTACTCGAATCTTGTTATGGTACCGGACCATGGAAGAAACACAGGCTATCTGGATACCAAGACTGCAATCGTTCTCCAAGACGGAGCAGCGAGTTTCTGGTTAGTGCCTGGACAAGCTTTCTATTCTATCAGGACCGGAGGATCCAAATTTAGAAATTATTTTCCAAATGTAGCAAAGGAATATATCCATAGAGACTTTTGGGAGGATCACATAAGCGCTTCAGTCAGTTTACTCGAGGGTAAGACTACGGACGAAGAATTTACCTTTGGATGTGACTGACACTGCAGAGCAGAAAGGCCTATCTTGGCATGGGTGGCTTTCCGCTACATCCATGGCCCCAGGATTTAGAGGCCTTCACAACCAAGATTTCACCAATGTGTTGGAGATACCACCACTCCATTTTCTACCACCGGCTCAGCGTGCACAAGGGAGAGTATTCGTTAGACACCCGGCCCAGCAAAGAAGAGCCTAGAGATCCCAAACTTTCTCGCTAATACTCTGAGGTTCGACCTTGGTTACCGGGACAGCGTGCTGCGTCGCCTAAAAGTTCAGGTGTACCCACCCGTCGTATGGGTTCATAGCCCGCATGTTCTCAAGCCGATTCAACTGGTAAAATGTCGGCGTCATTCGCGGATGTGTATCATTATATCGCGAAGGATCGTGAAGAACATATACTCCTATATCTGGAGGAATATGTACGATTATCTTTGAGCTTGGGAAGAAAGCATATAACGGAGAAACCAGCTACTATACACCCCTGAGGTGAGCCCTACGGTATGTGAGGCAAACGATCCTGCGAATCGCCTCGGAATCAAGGTACGGTACAATGTCAGGGAACCCTAGAAGCAGGAAGAATATTGGTCCACTTTACGAGGAGACAGAAACACCAAAATGTTGTAATCCCTGGTGGGCTATTAGAATGCAAGAATGAGGAATATACCGAGAGTTATCCCCTGAGGTTCAGTTTCGCCATCCTGGCTAGTGATGTTGATCTGTTTATTGTTTCACTTTGATCAGTAAACGCATCCTTACCCGGCTTACCGGCCTTCTATTATGGCAAGTAGATCCGTCACAAGCTATTGATAGAGCAAAGCCCAACATGACCTGTGGGTCTGCATAGGCTACTTGTATAAACCTTCTGCCTTGATTTCTAGTTGAAACGTCGTTGTGCAACTGATGACAGGCATGTACCAAACATTGGGACTCTCAGCTAAACAGGGATGGAGATCTTGTCAATCTAGAAAGCAGCAGTTACAAAGCTCCAAAGAATAATATAGAAAGGGCGGAAATTTTTATATAGCTGGCTCGGCCCTCTAAATTCGAACAGTGAAATGATGAGAATCACCTTTTTAATTAGCGGCCGGCTGACCTGCCCAAGTTAAAAATGTATATGGGAAACACAAAAAAAGCGTCCAGGGAGAGGCTCGAACTCTCAACCTCCTGATTAACAGTCAGACGCGCTAACCAATTGCGCCACCCAGACTAGTTGATATGCCCTAGGCCATGTTTTTAATAATATAGGCTAGTATGCTAGTGTCTGGCCTGACTTTGGTATAAGAGCCTCTCAGCTTTAATCTTAAGATTCTTATCGCATACCAAAAGGCTAACATTGATCGCAGTTGTCTGCGGTCACCCCTAAACTCCATAAAAGTAGCGCACAGAGGCCTTGTAAGCTGCCGCACAGCCTTACAATATCATGCATATAGTGTACCCAGATTGGCTACTAACCCCCACTAATCTTTTACGGAAATTGCTTACCTTCTTTC